GGGGGGGGGAATTTTCCCATCTGCAATCCCTTGTCATTCGCTCTCAATTGCAATTTCAAAGAATGAATTCCAAATTCGAGCTCCACGCGAAGGTTTGCCGGTCCCTTTTTTCAGGGTAATACGCACTCGGGTTTGCATGCGTGCACACGGCCGATGCAGGCTCGGCGTCAACGTCTCAAAGGACGACATCTCGCAACCCCGCAAAGGTTGGAGCTCAGACGCTCTGCCTCTGCAGCCCGGTGACGCAGGCCAGCTAAAAATAGTGGCGGTGATGCATCATTGATAAGAGAGAAGGGCTGACGGGGAGCTTGCGTTTGGCTTTCGCCGTCGATGGCCTCCACCGCAAACCCCGGCGGCCTGGCCAGTGGCGTCGACGTCCGCGATGAAGCAGATATGAAGAGGCGAGGCGTTTTTTCTCCCGGGTAGAAACGGGGGAGGAGCCGGCCCCGTTTTTGCGTGTCTGCGCTTTGGGGCTCAGTATCGCCTCAGAGCAACACAACAGACGTTTGTTTGATTGTTTGTTTTCCCCCTCTCACCTTCACTACGGAGTCCCTGACGGGCAGCGCCGTTGAAAATGGATGTTTAGTTTTTTTTCTTTAAGTCTAGATTGCTTTTCAGACCGCGATGTACTCCTCCACTGCCCACTATTTACGATTTTGGTTGATAGGGCTGCAAGCGGATCGCCGACTGTCACCTTTGGAACGGATGCAGGCCTCATTCATACGTCAAACGAGAGCACTTGATCGAGATCCCCAGTTGGGTTTTCAACAGCATGTCTCCCGGCCCACTCGCAGGACTTGAAAATCCACATTAGATTCAGTGGCTCCACTAAAACAATTCAAAAATCAAGACCGAACCCCCTGAGGAGAAATGATGTCATTGAGAGATCCCAAAGAAAATGCAGGCGTGCAGAGGACGTGGAGGAAAAAGCAGAAAAAAAAGGGTCAACTCAGAGACAATGAGTGCGTTCATGCAAAAGCTGCCGTTGGCCGCCGCCCACACCCGGACACTCACACACCCGGCGTGACGCAGCGCAACCGTGCACGCCGACGGTCCGATCCGTGAAGTAATTTCTCGACGTTTTCTGCTCGCGCTTTGTTCTTATTGAGCACGCGCTCCCAAAAAAAGCCTTTTGTTTGGATATTTCAGTCAGTCGCTCCGCTCCGGCTGGCCGGCGTTGACCCATGGGCGGGGCTGCGAAAGGCCCGCGGCGTACGACCCTGCCAACAAGTGGACTTTGATTCTTCACGGTTGCTTCGAGCCTGTCCGACACGCAGGACGACCGCCGTGGTGTCGAAACGGCGCACGAAAGGCAGTCGGTGCCCCCCCCCCCGAGCGGCCCAAAGAACTTTTGCTTTCAAAGCTCTTTGGCGTTTGCCGCCGATCAACAAATGTCCCGCCATTTGTTGACGTGCAAACGAAGCACGGCGACCAACCCATGTGACACGTTGACCTGTGAGCGCATGCGTGCTTCACCTTTTCACTCTCCTCATTCTCAGCTTTTCATCTTTCGGGCCATTAAGGCCGAGGGGGCCGACTTCACTCAGTGCGCCAGCCACGGGAGTTTCCGGCACCGCTGGCAGGGGACGGCGTACAACATGTTTCACTTTGTGACGCTCTATGTCTTCCCTCTGCTTGTCATGACCTTCTGCTACGGCCGCATCCTCGCCAAGATCACTGGGCAGATGCGCAAGAGCAAAGGTGCGTGAACGTCGCCGCACTCGGCAGAAATCGGACCGGGGGGCGGACGTGAACGACCGCTTTGAAATGGCTTCGGGGGGTTTCTCCCCAACGGCTGTTGGCGTTCGCCCCTTTGATGGCAACGCATTGGTGACCTTGAACCAAAGAACCGAAGCGGTCCCCCAAATGTTGACTTGAGTCGGCCTCGGGGCTCAGGTCTTGACCCATCGCAGCTCCGAGCCAGAGAGCTGCGATTGGTTGTTAGCGGAGGCTGCTCGTGCGGGCAGAAAAAAAAAGAAAAAAGAAAAAGAAAGGTGCGCAGAGCTGACCTCGCCCCGCGCCCCACTGGCAAGCGGGCTTCCAATGGCGCTTCTCTGAACTGAGCCGTTTGGTGTCTTTAGATGGCGAGCGATGCCTGCGACGCAGCGGCAAAGACCAGATTCCCAGAGCCCGCATGAAGACCCTCAAGATGAGCATCGTCATCGTCAGTTCCTTCGTCATCTGCTGGACCCCGTACTACCTTCTGGGGATCTGGTACTGGTTCCAACCCACCATGATCCGGCACACTCCCGAGTACGTGCACCACATCCTGTTTGTCTTCAGCAACCTGAATACATGCTGCGACCCCGTCATCTACGGCTTCTACACCACCTCCTTCCGGGCCGACCTGGTCGACGCGATGGCGTGCTGCCGCGACAGACGCGCCGGCGAGGACTCGCCGCGCTCCGCCGACGGCCTGGCAGCCCGAAACGCGGCGCCGGCCGGGGAGATGGAGTCGGACCTGAGCTCCAACCCGCACAGCGGGAACCTGTGAGAGACAAGAGGGCGATTTGGTTTGGCTTTTCTTTTCTTTGCGGTCGCTGGCTCTGGGTTCAAGACCTGCGCTCACAATTAGTTATGACATGCCCGCTTAGCCATCACTGGCTGGTTCATTTTGTGCACAAGTTAAAAAACTTCCACTAATTGTATTTCCTTTTTTCAGTTTTGAATAAATGTGTTTTATTATATATTTGTATTTTTCACTAATGAGGGGTTTGGTGAATGTGGATATAAACTGGTTGGGTTCTTAATCATAAACACATCAGCTGCGCAAGGCGGGATAGCTGGCTAGCAGCTCACTGGAGGCTAACCTGAGGGTGCAACAAAACGGAAGCAAATCCAACCATGAGAGCGATTTGACTCAATGCCGAGTCGGTGAGTCGGTCAACTCTTAAAAATGTGCAAAAGCAGAATGGAAATTGCCGTTCCCGGCTCTTGATTATTTTCTGGACTTTGCCACGCTGCTGACAGAGTGTCGTCATCCCGACTTCCATCTTTCTTGCGCGGGTGCCTTCGGGGAACCCAGCGTGGTGATGTTCCGCAGGCTGCCGTCTCGACCGGAAGCGCAAGGGACATTTCAAATGGTCAAGATGACAGCCCACAAGCGATTCCGCTTTGCCGCATCTGGTCCTCATTGCCTTTGTCTTGTTCGCGGCCTCATTTTCGAGCGGCTTGCGCAGGAGGATCTTGGTGCGTCCGCGGCTTCGGCCTTGCCCGCGCGCTTCTTTGTTGTCGGGCTGGTTTTAGGTGAGGATTTTTTTTTCTTTGCATCCTTAGTCTTTGCGTCCACGGGCAGCCCCGACTTTTTCCCCGCACGGGTATTCACGGGCCTCCCGATGCTGAAACGTCGACTTTTGTCCGGTGAAGGCCCCGCGACAAAATCCGAGTCGTCTGTACGGTTATCGCAGTCGGGCACGAGGGGACTCGAGCGTTCGCCGTCAACGCTGTCATTCTCGGGACGGTTTCCGCACAAAGCCCAAATTTCGCTCGGGTTAAGTTTGGTCAAGACAACCTTCGGCTTTCGACTTGAACAAACTTGGCCGTGGCTGTCTTTTAAGTTGTGGTTTGGGAGAGGGGCGGAACTTCCTGAGGGACGACCGCAAACATCTGTCTCCGAATCACACGGCGAAGAGTTGGACGTTCCTGCAAAGCCAAACAAGACAAAGGACACAAATGAATTGAAAAGGGAGCCAAACTAAAGTCGCTGGCCGGTTGGAGATGATGCGGCCTTTGGACGACGTCAGGAAGTCGTTTACCATCACTTGCGATTTCGATGACATCCTCATCGGAATCCGTGTGGGTGTAATTCCAACCCAGAAGAGCATAGAGTTCCTTCACGATGGCTTCATACGCTGCCACGGAGCTGCGGAGAAACCATTGCGCCCAAGTCAAAAAAGAGAACTCAACCCAGCCATTTCCGAATGCAGCTTATGTTTTCGACTCAGCAGAAGCGCATGCTTGAAGGCTTCGCATCGGTACTGTCTGACACACCGCAGCGTTCCTCTTTTGGGGCGCCCCGAATAACCCGATGACACATTTCAACAACGCTCCGAGGTTCCAAACTTAAGAGCGCTTTCGAGTGTGGCAGTGCATATCTTGCAAAGGATTCACAAGAAATGGAGGCATTTTAACGAACGAAGCGGCAGATGTAATACCAGGGCCACGTGGGTCGCATAGCCATTGCTCAACCAGGAAAAGTTTGGAGAGAGGCTGATTTGGAAGAGGGCGCAGCATTTCAAAACTTTTGGAGGTTTCGGAACTGACCACTGCTCAGATTCCTTAGTCAAAGTCGAATTTGACGGCGCACTCACTTGCTGAGTGCCAGGAGCCGGTCAGTTTGGTTCGCCCGCTTTTCCAGTAGAGACTTCAAAAGCTGACATTGTTCCAATGCATCAGGGGGGGTCAAGTGCATTTTTTGCACCTTCTCCGAAATCCAACTCCGGAGCTCCTCTTTGGTCATCTCCATCTCATTTCCCTCACTGCAATGAGCAACATGGTTACAGCCATCAAAATTTGACGCGACCGTTGTGTCCGAGGAGACTCGAGCTCGGTGGCTGATCGAACGGCGCGGCGACCGCCTCTACCAAATCTATCTTGTCTTGTTCGCGTGAATCTGTTTACATGGGGCTTTTGCAATCATCTGGCTCACCTGCAAGTTGGGTCTGGAAGGAGATGGCCGAAAATCAACGTTGCATTCATCTCATGGTCACCTCTTGATGTGAAACCCAAATGTATTGGGTCTGTAGCAAAACTCTAACAATACTGCTGGGGTTTACTTTGGAGAAACGGCGGAAATAAATGCCAGGGGACATTTGGAAGCGCAAGTTCCAATCATCTCCAGCGGGCCTGTCCAGCCCCGGGCCTGGAAGGCCGCCGTCCTGCCTGTTTTGCGGCTCTCCCGGCCGCAACGCACCTGATTCAGATGATCAGCCGTGAAGCAGCACTGGAACGGTCCTGATTATTTGAAACGGGTGTGGCTCAGGGGAGAGCTGGAAAACAGGCAGGACGTCGACCCTCAGGGACCGACTTTGGACACCCCTGATCTACAGCGTCAAATGCTGCCCGATGTTTTCTCCGCCCTCTTGGAAATTCATTTTTGAGCGCTTCGGGAGATTCACGAGGCACGACGCGACAATGGTTTAACCACAGCGAATTAAAGCAACATGATCATTATCCAACAATTGGGTGTTAAATCAAACAATAGCCACCCATATTCCGACGTCAAAAAGTCAATGCGTTCAATTTGTCGCGAGGATCATCGACTGAAGCGACCGCAAAATGGCGGCGCCAATGCTCGGAGGAAGTTTGTGCGGCCTCGTCGCCCGAGTCTGGCACGTTTGACGCCAAGTCCTTGGGTGACGAGCAGCGACAGCGAGGTCGTCGGAGTGAACTGCAGCAGCCTCGGCCGCTTCTCCGGCCTGGGCCCAGATTTCCGAACTCCGCGGCAGCCGCCCGTCGATGGATGACGGGAGTTTTCGCCGTCTTCTTCGTTCCTCATTGAAAGCGCTGCTGCCGCCCCGTGGTAGAAAGCGCGCATAACATGTCTCCAGCGAGCCCAAATCAAGATCACCTCACCTCCATTTCGACATTGCTGCTTCGACGTTCGTTTTCGCCGAAAAAGACGCCATTTACAACACTGACATGACTTTTAGGTCGTTTTATTAAGATACCGTAAATGCTGCGGCATACACGAAACTAGTCATAACATTGATAAGAAAGGAACAACAACTGCGTACAAGTCAAATTGAAGCCGTTTTTGTACAATTTCCAAAATGTAGCAACTAAAAACATCATGAAATACTTAAAATGCAGTACAACCTTGGCTTACAAATGTAATCCGTTCACTGACTGTTTGCGCAAGGTTTCCCATTGAGATAAAAGGGAACGAGATTCAACTGCTCCACCCCCAGAACCAATTTAACCTGGTTCAAAATAAATACTGTACAATAAAGAACTAAATGAAAGCACAACTCTAAAGAAATAATGCGGTGCGTTGGCGAGCAAATCACTTCCACAATGTGCTTTTTCGCTTGCCGGTCATGTTGGCCGCTTGCAGTTTTCACTGAAAAGAACATGGGTGTCAAACTCGAGGCCCAGGAGCTTGGTCTCATTTTGTGCGGCCCGCAAAAACAAAATAATGTGCGTCGACTTCATGCTTCTTGCTAAAATACCAACATTGCAAATTCTGGTCCCTTTGAGAAACATCGATATCTTGCACCCGTTTGTTATTTTTAACCAATCCCCCCTTATTACAAACGTAATATTGGAACTGTAAACAGTTTTGGCGGGCCTTTGATTTCAAAACAAGTTATTCATCAATGTGCTGTGTACATCCCTGACATGGGGCTTATTGGTCAGTCCACACATGTGTTACATTGACAAATAAATCGTTGAAAACGGCTCTCTCTCTGACAATGCAGTGCTGACGATTGAACAAACATGGCGCTCGTGAAAAGCCATGATTTTGGAGGTAGGGTTGCACCTGACGCCAGCCATGTGTCGTATGACGTGATCATATGTTTCTTGGCGTTCGCAAAGGAAACCACAAGGAGGAGTGGCCCGTGACCAACGTCCATTTGACGCTCTCGGTTTAGAACAACACCGAAGAGATCATTTCAACCCCCAAATAACATTTGCAATTGCTGAATGTTAATATGGCACAAGCAGAACACCTCTGCAGCAATGCCAAGACGATTTGTGAACCCATAAAAAATAAACAAACAGAGGTCATTTTTCTTTGAAAACGTTCGTAAAACTGAAATGTTCTAAGAAGGGTCATTTGTAAACCAAGGTTGCTCCGTTTCACATTTGATCAATGCAAATGAACAAGCCTATTTTTCTTTCTGATCGACAGAGAGCATTCGTCTTGATCTCTGCCTGAACTCGCGTGGTTCAAGGAAAACAACCAAACACATCTGAAGATGTACTAACCTCTCTTGTTATCGCCTCAAAACTAATGCAAGTAGTTGATGTCTAAAACAAAGCTGCTCATGAATAACCATATACACAAGTGATTTATCGCCTCAAAACTAATGCAAGTAGTTGATGTCTTAAAACACAGCTGCTCATGAATAACCGTATACACAAGTGACACTTGTCAGGGAAAAACTAAATCACTGAAAAGCGTTTTTTTAATGGTTGTTTAAATTGGAATCATAGCAATCCACCCAAGAAATGTGTACAATTCACAGGCGGGGAAATCCAATTATGTGCCCCCCCCCCCAAAACAAAACAAAAACCGTTTTCCAGAGAAATTTGAAGTCTTGTTCCAATGACGGACTTGTCAATGGAGCCCACATTACTGTTCACCTGCCTCAGCTTCTCTTCTCCTCAGTTCCAAGAACCTCGGCATATGCGACAGCCGAATGGAGCCACGGTGAATCCACTCTTTGTGCTGATTACACTGAAGGCATGACAACAGGAGCGCCGTGTCATCCAAGCCCATCGGGCAAAGGAGAAGAGGAGAGTCAAAAAGACGGCACCAACCTCAGAAGCCACCATGATCAAGCTGGAGTCCACCATCTCCACCTTGCACCTCAGCTGGACTCCGTTGAACTCCACCGAGGCGTTCTGACCGGGCTTGTACTGAGTCAAGTGAGGGTACGGCCAGTCCTTGATGTACTGCTTCATAAAACGCTTGTGAGTGTCGTCCTGAATGTCGTCCGTGGGGTCTGGCACTGAACGGGTGACAAAAGCGGCACGGGCATCAACACTTGGAAGCGTTCCGGTGCAACCCAAATGCGTGTGTGTGTGTGTGTATATATCTATATATATATCTAAATATATAGATATATATATAAAAATAAAAGTAATGTGTTCGTATAAGTTAGTGATAGACTTGCAGGCAAATTGCGGTGCCGTAGCAACAAAGCCAAGGAGCCTCTGAACTATCGAAAGCTTGAATGTGCGTAATAATCTCATTGTTTGTCTAATCAATACAATAAATAATGATTTGAAAACGCTTATTTAACCCGATGCCATCCAAAACAATTTTCGACATGCTGTTGATCAAAAAAAAAAAGTGTGAACGTGTCCAACTTACATGGTCTGCACACCAGGTGAAATAAGGTTAAGCCAACATAGACGGGTCTGTGGTTGTCCAGGAACACCAAAAACCTAAAAATGGATTCAAAGCTTTAAGGGCTTGAAAATGTCATTTCTCAAGTCACAAATCACAAAAACAAACCTGAGTGAAAAAGTCGTCTTTATGAATGCTCCCGCCTGATTTTTAAACGCAGACATCTGAGACGTACCTCACGACTTGATTCGATTCCAATTCAGAGCGACGACGAGTCGATTCAATGACTCATGTCTCATCCATCTTATTTTGCAGACTGTGTGACTTGCAGAAGAGTGTTTTGGAAATCATCGGTATGTCCGAGGTGAAATGAGTAGAAGCGCCTTGACGCCCCCATGATGTATTTTATGTCTGCATTGCGCTCGTGAAAGGAGCCAGGAGGAGCGACGTGCACCCGCGGCCGTACGGCAGGACGCGACTGAGTCATTGACATGGTGAACTCGGCTGGAGTTAGGAGGAAGGTTCGGTTCGCACCGACTCAGGCAAACTGTTTCAAAAAATATGAACCAAGACGATGCGCTGTATTCAACCCAGCCCCCCCCCCCCCAGCCATTCATACAAAGATGCTACTGTCGGATAGGACGATAAGGATGAGTTATGAGCATGCGTGCCATATGCATCAGGTTTGCCTTTTTTGGGACTGAACTGACTGACGTCAAAGGCTCACATGTCAACACGTCAGGCAAAATTGCAAGTCAGAGACGCCGTTTACAAGGACACAACTCCATTCCGCGATATGACTGGCGCCGCGGCGTGGTTGCAAAACGTTCACTCCCCAAAAGTCTCAAGCCTGCCCGAGTCTTGTGAGCAAACATCTCAGCGGCTCGGGCAGCACGAGCAGACGGCGTTCCACCCCCCCCCCCCCCCCCCCAGACTAAAAAGAATCACTTTCGTATTAAAACTAATGATGGACAAACGCAACCTCTAAAAGCGAATTAAAACGAAAGTCAACACAAAATAAAGAAATCAATAAAAAGCTATCCTGATAAATCTATTGAAAGGTATAAATCGATCCGGAGCAGTTTACAAGTGACCAAGAAGAATGCACTGAGAACAAAAATGCATCCTTGGCACACCTGAGTCGGTTCTTCCTGCTGGGGAGCTCCGCCAAGATGCCGGCTCGGAACTGAGCGATGTCCTCCTGACAGGAGACCACCACACGAGCCCCGACGTACACCTGCTCCAGCCTCGGGGTGACCTCAAAAGCAATGTGGTGTCCTGACACCAGGCTCCTCCCCTTTTCGTCAAACATAATCTTGTACTTGAGTCGCCCGTCTTCTACAATGACAATGTATACAAAAAGAAAAGGGCACAATTCATATGTTGATTCAGACTTCACACATTGAATCCTTAGGTTTTCTTTTTTCCTCGCTTTTTTTCCAAGACTGAAAGTCAATTTTTTTATTTTTTAAACGGGTCTGAAAATGGCTGGTACTGAATGAGTTTTAACCTTGTTCGAGGCATAAACAAGCAGCTCACGGTCAAAAACCCGACACTTGTTAGACTAAGGATTTTTTTGGTTTGTTCGTTTTTTTTCTCACATAGGCACACCCATGCATTAGATCATGACCTCTCAAGAGTGAGGGCGAAATTGTTCCCACCTTTCGTAACCACCTCCACAATTTGCCCCCGTTGCCACCTCAAGTTCTTCTTCCTGGCCAGTACCGTCGAGCCCACCGTGATTTCCTCCTCAGGCAGATCGGGCCGAATTTTTGTTGTTTCTTGAGGCGCATAGGCAAACGCTGATGAATCGATGATGGGCGTGTGATCTGTGGAAATAGGGAGCAGCACAACGTGTGTGCGGGCGTCCATTTTCGACAAGTTGGAGGGTCTGGAGCCCATCAAGTGCGAACGCCACCAACCAGTGGCTACGAATTAACCAAACAATCAGTGTGGCCCAACCTTTTTTCAATATTCATCAATTTGCAAGTTCCCCACCCCTGAAATATTGCAGTTTTAAATATGATCCCCCCCCCCGGTCCTCTTTCCCATGTATTTTTACAGAAATGCAAGCAACAGATCAATCTCATGACGATAAAACTCTTGAAATTTGTATGACGTGTCAATTTATATTCAATCACTCGTCCGGCCTTCAACATCAGTGACCAAAACGTATACTCATATATGGCCGAGTGCCCTCCGCGACAGTGAGCCGCAACCATGGGGTGGAACAGAAAATGGATCTTCTTGGTATTATTTCAAGGAAATTAAATAAGCCAAGCCACACCGATGCCCCCAAGGTCGGTGCCGCTAGGATAGACGTACTTACCAATATTGTTGACTTTTTTTTTCTTCTTGGCTTTCGATCTTTTCGCCGATGGATGATCGGAATCACTGGATTCGTTATATTGCTCCCTATCGGAATCTGAACTGCTTTGAGATTCATCTTCGCTGTAAAACTGCGACGGCGTCGGCGGTCGAAGAGCACTGATCTTGTAATCGGGAAGCCTGACCAACGACACCTCCACTCTTTTCAATAATCCGTATTCCAAACGCGTCCTTTTGCACGGAAAGCCACTTGTGGAAGGACCCAAATCACATTGAGGTTCAGGGAGGTTTTCTACAAAGAACAAAAAAAACGTGAATATACAAGACAAGCACACTCAAAATGCCAGAATATATATCAACTTACCAAACTCAAACCTTTCCCTCTTTACACTGGTTTCTTCGGACTGTGACATTGTCACCTCCAGCTGATCATCCAGCTCCATCATCTCCCCTAAACGATACAGAATCGATGAGTCAGTATAAAAAGGAATATCAGTAACTACAGTATAAAAATTTGAAACGAACAAAGCGAAAGTAAATATTCCTGGAAATTAGCCGATGAAAAATCAGGCATTTTCAACCAAAAGCTTTATTTAAAAAAAATTAAAAACACATTCATGAAACTGGATTGGACAAAAATGATGGTACCCTCTTTGGAAGCTAATCGGTGCAATTCAACCTTTTTTTTTTTTAATCAATCTCTTACTGATATGTGCACATTTTGACAGGTATTTTGACCCACTCCTCATGAGCAAATTGTTTTTCGATTGTCTCACATTTGAAAAGTGCCTTTTTCAGGCAATTTGGTTTCACAAATAGAATTTAGATGAGGGCTCAGAAAAGGCCACTTCAGAACACGCCGATGTTTTGTAGTTAGATGCCATTGAGTGTTTTTAGGGAGCCACATTTTGCTCCAAAAGGCCTTTGCACCACACAGAGTCTGAATGCAAAAGGCAGCCCCAGGATAAATATGCCTGTTTTTTCAGCAGTTACATTTTCACTACATGGCTACAATGACTCATTTTTTTCTCCAAAACCTTTGTGTGTGTGTGTGTGTGTTTGTTTCATTCAAACAGAAGAGAACCAACAATGATGTCCACATGTAATATCAGATATATTAGCTTTATTGATAAAATAGAATTGTTTTTCATTCGATTCATAGGACATATTTATATATATTGCTCAAAAAAGGGAGACATTTGAACCACACAATGAAACGTCAAGTGTTACTGTTATTTTCATTTAGCAACAGCTAAATAGTCTCTTTTTTTCGTGGTCTCGTATCTTCATGAATAATTTGTAGTTTATATAGTTTTGCAAATACATTACATACATTGACATCGCCATGACAATTTATTTATGTCATCAGAAAACCACTTTTACCAAACTATTGCGTTCGGTTTGATTTTGTTGCCATTCGAATTACGCTTAACAGCCAGGGCGGGAACAAAATAGTCCGTGACGACGTCACGCACAGCACCTCTGAATTAAACTGAATGAAAAACAACTTTTAAAGTCTCGAGTGTGATTAAAAATCACGCTCCTTCCTCAAACAATTCTCCACCTTCTTGTGTCCACATTTGAGCGGCACCGTTCAAATGCTAGCATGATCGGCTCTGAACGGAAAGTGACCACAGAAGGGATGCAACGCGACGTTCTGCTGAAATTCAAATTTATTGTGACCGCTGCCGGAGTCAAAAACTGAAATGCTCTCACGAGTCAAGTCTGGAACGGTGCGTTAAGCAATGCGGTAGATGTAACTAGCTTACCCGACTTAACGAATTCCTCGCCTTTAGAGTCTTTGGGACTACGATTTTGTAGCACAAAGAGCATGAAGAGCTCGTTAAAAATATGATTAAAACGTTCCCGCCTTGACTACCAGTTACACTGCTAATATGAATGCAGGTAAGGCGTCAGGGTTGCGTTAGCTACGATGCTCCTTCTTCGTCGTCGTCGTTGTCTCCCTTCTTCTTCTTCGTTGTTCGTTTTCTTCTTCTTCCTTTGAGTTTTGGGCGGTTGGCAAACAACAAAATGGTGCGTTTCCGCTACCTGCTGGTTCGGAGCGTGTACTAGAACGTCTGGTACCGTCACCGCACGTCGAAAACAAATACATGAATTAATTAACATGAACAATAGTCTCTCTATCAGCGGTGTTTAACCGAGAGACTAAAATGATATTCGATAAGACTAATTTCCCGAATCATTTTGTAGAATATTATAAATTCAAACACATATTTCCTCTGCCTGCGGGTGGCTGCGCGGCTCGGCGGAAGCGTGGTCGTCTCCCCGTCCAGAGGTTGGGGGTTCAATCCTCGGTAATTGTGACCTTGGCGAAGTGTCCTTGAGCAAAATACTCAGCTGCTCCTGATGCTGCGTCATCAGTAGGTAAATGAGGAAACAGTGTAAAGCGCTTTGAGTACCAAAAGGTTGAAAAGTGACAGCCCGTTGCGCCAAAGGACTTTCGCAACTTGTGAGAAATTACAACGCCATCCAGTTTGAGAACCGAATCAAATGTTCTGTTCGATTTTGTTGAACACCGTGAGAGAGGTTCAACAAAACAGATTTTGAATGATTTTGAGATCATTCAAAATCTGGGATATCCTGCAAGACATTTATTGTTGAAAACATCAGCTTCGACGCACGACAAAGTATTAATCATGAGACATGACATAAAAAAATAGAAATGCTGTGGCCTTCGGGTGTGGTGTAAGGCAATCTTACGTTGGATGGTGCTCGAATGAATGGATCAAGAACCGCGTATTCCATTCAAACGCTACAATACACCGCACAATGGGGATTGTGTTTCGGTAGTTCATTTAGTGTCTCGTCCAGAGCGAATTGTTCAGGTAATCTGCTCCTCCTGGTAGGTGGAGGTGGAGATGGAACCGTAAGGGTCGACCACCGTCTGGGCGCAGCGCACCACCGTCACCAGTAGGAAGAAGCACAGGAGGGAGAGGAAGAAGAGCGCAAAACCCAGATCCACATCCACCTCGAACGGGAGCGCGGGATGTTTCATCCCGTGGTCCATGGGGCTGATGAACGCCAGTCAGCTCAAATGTCTGCTCAGGAGACGCCAATGACCTCCGTGCGACAAGAGACAAAGAGGAAGAATGGTCGTGAGCGTTTGTTTATGCTTATGAGGTCCGATAAAAGGAAGAAAAACACAGGCCAAGAGATATCGAACTTACCACGTGTCCCAGCATGTGTCCAAACTTTTGAAAAGCTTCACGTGCTGGCGTCGGTCTCTCGGTTGCTTTTTCGTCACGTCACTTGCGCAAGGCAGTTTTGGTTGGCGTGGCTCTCGCGTTTCCCTTCTTCTTCCCTTCGTGATCACGACACGGCGAAAACGAGCAGGCGGGAAGATGATTCGCACACACCTTGGGGAACATTCTAGTGTTGAGATAACGCTGGATATGCGTGAACAGATTTATGTCCCTACAACTCGAGAGATCTTGGATACGCGAAGCTCCTGCAACATTCATGGCGTGCGCTCGCATCTTGCGGGCCTCCTCTGGATCTGTAAGCCCTTATTAATATTTGAGTGGGAATTTGATAAGGCGACAGCGTGCAAGTGAATCCTACACACGCACGCACACACACATACACACACACACACACACACACACACACACTTTTGTTCTCCTGTCAAAAGGAGGCTCGACCGTTCCAGACGCTGTTGAAATGTCAGGGATGCTGAATTTGTGTCTTACGTAAGAGTGGCGAGGTAAAACAGATTTGCGAGGAGTAAAGATAATCCGGAGAGGAGATACAAGAGATGCAATTGCAATCGAATCATGTGGAGCCAGCGAGGTCGAAACCGAGCCCGCCACATTCAAATGAACAGTCTTGATGAGCGTGTGTGTGTGTGTGTAAAGCGATCGGCCGTTGTGCCCAATCAGCCTAGAAGGTTGCGTGCCAAAACAAGAGAGGTGGGAGGAAACTAAATCTGGTTGTTGGTTTTCAAAGAGTGAAACACGCGCTCAACTTTCTAGGACATTGTTTTCCACAGCTGTCAATTCCTGGACCCGTGTAGAACAACGTTGGCATACCAAGTGGACAACGGCGCCACTGGAAAACAGCTCCATTTTTAATAACAAAAAATAGATACGGTCAAAGTCAAGCAGTTCAAGGCCACTGCATAGTTAGTTTGAAATTGCCACAAATACGCGGGGTTTCACCGAAACACTCGATTTTGTCCTGCGACTGGCTGGCAACCGGTTCAGGGTGTTCGCCGCCTGAAAATGGACGGACGGACTATATTTTGTTATATTTGCCATTAGCACTCGAGGTTGCCGACGGCCGCTTGTTACATTCTGGCTTCTGCTATCAATAACAACGTTTGTTTTTTTTTTTTGCAACATGTTTTTTCAACCTTTTTTTTTTTTTTGCAAATGCGAATTTCACATCGATGTGATTTGTATCACGTGACTTGGAGCACTTGTGAGGTACAGCCCGAAGACGTTTCAAGATTCAAAATCCAATAAAACAGTCAAAGGGTCGTTTTAACACAAATAGAGCTTTTTTATTTTTTTAATCATCATTCAGCAACACATAACACGGACTAAAAAAAAACACTTTCTGGGGTGGGGAGGTGAGTGGGAGGCAAAAAAAAGCTGTTTGTAAGGAGCAGGTTGACGTGTTGGGGCACAAAAGATGGCATTTAGAAACAACTCGCAGTCCAAATGATGAAGGCACTTGGATGGCACACTTGGGTGACTGGTTCCTGGATACGCCTCTTCATCGGTTTCGATGAGTGAAACGCTTTTTGCTAACATTGAACCAAAACACTGACCCCCCCCCCCCAAAAAAAAGGGCCCAAACATCTGGTGAAAACGAATCCAATTGGGATCCAAATGTAAGCCTATCCAAGTGGTCTGACTACGATTAAACGTCCATAAAGTGCATCTTGGGTGACAGAAAACACTGAAAATAAATGTTAGTGACCATGCTCCAGCCCATCAAGAAGGAGCACTTTATTTAGGTTTGGGGTTACGCTGAACCGGCTTTTCTTCTTTGAACAGGACCGGTCACAAATAAAATCACCAAACTAAAACTATCCATTCAGCATCGACACAAACACACACATAAACATGTTCAAATGATTTTGGACTGCGCGTGCATGTTCTGTTGCCACAATTCGAACCACGGCGGCTCACTTTTGCAAACTGTTAAAATTCTTATTTGCCATTCGGGATTTTGCGTTGCATTTTTTTTTTTGCAACCGACGTACGACGACCCGTTCGTAAACTTCAATCTGGAAACGCTCCATACTAACTTTGTCCCAGTGGCTTGAGTGAAATTAGTCAGGCGGAAAGGCAATACTACTTGGACAAGTGTTCGCTGAGGCGGCGAGGGCAAACGACGCCTGTGTACGAATGAACCTCAGCAGCAACAACAACAAAACAAATTCGGTAAACAAGCCATGAAAGCTACAGTGTGCTAACAACTAAATGTGATGAAGCGGGAGGGGAGGGAGCCAACAGCACCAGCGGCGCAGAATCACTGTCTTCATTGTTCCTTGGTCAATTTCCAGTGTTGAGAAAAGTGGGCGACTATTGATCATGTGGATATGGTGAAGAAATGCTTTTTTTGGGGGGGGGGGGGGGTATCGTCCCTCTGCATGAAACACTCCTATTCTTTGGATTTCAAGTGGGGGATGCGCGCAAGGTTCCGACTTCGCCACCTCGCGGTGGTTTCGGCGTCTACTCAGTCCATCTTTTGGCGGTTGTTGTTGAGCGCGGTGTGGCCGTTGCGAAGGTGACCGTTTTTCAAGGTTCGATTCCGCTCGCCGCTGCCGTCTTCATCTTCGGAGTCCGTCTCTTCTTTGTCGCTGCGCTCATCTTCAACTATGTCCTGGAGGGGGAAATTCACGTGAAATCCCATCTGCTGCGCCGCTTGCGCTGAGACGACGGCCTAGGTAGGGCTGGGCACTGAATTGGAATTCCACCGTGATTCTGATTTCCGAACGGCGCGCTGCGTGTTTGCACGTTGCAGCGGGAAAACCGAGTTTATGACATGTGCGTGTGCTTCTTACGTTGCCGGGGAGGAACTTGATGACCATGCGGACAATCAGTGCCGCCCAGAAGATGTGCAGAGCCAGCAGCAGCAACAGCAGACCGTTGAAGAAGTAGAAGCCGAAGAAGGGCTTGTAGATGGTCAGGGGGTACACCAACGTCGCGTGGATGATGCTGCACGCAAGAACAGAGCGCGCGGTCACAACCGCTCACACTCACCAATCAAAAGCCCATCGAAGCGGTGGATCGCGTGCCCGTTGTTATGATGGGCGTGGATTTTTCTTGCTTTGCCGAGTACGCGCGCTCAGCGGCCATGCTGCAAAAACGGCACATTTCTGATTTTCCAATCATGTTTCGCCTGCCATTTGAAGGCGAGTGGCTTTTTTGTACCGCATTGCGTTCATTTATGGTTGAAATCTGAAGTCGTGACTGCTTCGTTGCATCTTTTTCTTCTGTGATCGGAAGGTTTAACGGCCTTGAACTTTGGTCTTAAACTGGACCGTGATTTGAAATCCGGCTTCTTTCCTCTCGGGCGGCGGGCTCAAGTCGAGCCTCTCCTTTCTCAAGAGCACTTTTAATTCACGCCTTCGTCACCTCTGGGCCGGATGACCGGAACGCACTTGACTTTGGAGTCGGCCGATCCTCCGTCAAGTGTCTCCAGTGGGTCCCGAATGCCGCCGACTGGTACTCGTAAGAGGGAGCGCCTCGCTCCTACTATTCTGGCATCCCTTCACCGGCTCATTTTAGAGTTCTTTTCAAGATTCTATGATTTGTTTTCCAATCTGGGAATGGCCCGGCCCCACCTGACCTCACAGAGCTCCTGTGCCTCAAGTCTGCGGACCAGACTACAATTAGAGATAGCGAGAACGAAACGGAGGCCCAGAGGGGATGGAGCCTTTTCCGAAGGCCGCTGAGGAAGGAGTGTAATCACTATTAAAAAAACAAAACAACACAAAAACGAATGGATGTAAATTTGAAGAGTCTAACCTGAATGGCCGCTTGAACCAATCGAGTGTGCTTTTGCAAAATGTTTTTGATCATAACCTTGTGCACCCAATGGCTCATGAGAAAAGCAAGAAGAAAGTCTTGTGCAACACGTATATTTACCAGAAGGGGAAAATTACGAGGCGGGTGATGATGAAAACGACAGCAAAGACAACGAATATGAAGTTGCACGTCCTCTTCCAACCTGCATAGTTGAACATCTTGGCTGACTGAGAAGATGGGAAGACATGTCACAGGGTTAGCGCGGCCATTTTTCACCTCTCGAGGGCAGACACCACACAACAGAGACAAACTGGCCGCTTGGGCGACGGCCGGAAATGTGGCCACACACAATCGCCTTTTCACGCTTTCAAATTCAATTTCAATCTTGCGGGCAAGAAATGGATGAAAGCCACATGCTACGGAAGAGGTAAAAAAAAACGCCATTTTAGATCTCGCCTCCTACCTCAACAGCTTTCTCGTTATTTGGAATTCAAGGGGTCGCGTGCCCATACCTCTCCACTTCGCAAACTTTTGGCATCGACCAAGCGGTACGTCCAAAATACGTGATGCTGGAATGGGGAAGCTGTGACGCTGACATGTCACGGGACTGATGGGAAAAGGATCTTTGACTGTGCTATATGACCACAAGCGATGAGTTCAACAGAGACGAGCGGTTTATACAAGTGATCTTTTGAGTGGCTCATTTAACAGGAGGGCCCAAAACGCTCCAGTGTGCTTTTCATGAGTGAGAGCGAGATGGAATACCTCCATGAGATAGTCGGAGGCGTCGTGCGCCAACATGATCAAAGTTCCTCCCCTGATGTAGTTGACCAGCCAGGAAAAACTGACGAGTAAAATGGTGGCAATGTGGTGAACGACCTGTTCTTTGAAATCCTGCAAAGAAACCAGAGAAAGCCAAATTAAAAATTAAAAAAAAAGTTCATGGTACCGTACTTGGTGACTGATTGATCAAGCTGTCAAGATGAGTCAGTGATGGGCAGCTCACTGATGCTCTGCTCGTCCTAATGATTAACTCTGAATTTTGGGCAGCGCGGTGGATGAGACAGCGGTGCGGAACGCCACCAAATCACATCAAATGGCTAGCAAAAGTCAATTAACCCAGTCGCGGTTGTTCCCGTTTCAACACCCTTGCATCTCGGAAAACCACACGGACGGCTCATGAAATGGCGTTGGCATCGATGATGACACTTTTGAGTGACTTTAGTGTCATCAAACTCTCGGAGCCAAATTCCCACCACGTCAATGCCGTTGCTATCCGAGCACGACGCCTGATGATCTCCCTCTTTCACTACACGTAGCTCAATAGTCAAGGACGTGTTGTCAAAAGGAGCGGAGAAACTCCTTCACACCAGCAAACCGATTGAAAATGGAATCAACAATAAACATGCACGTTTATTTTCAGTCATTTGATGTTTCCAATTCCAATCTGAGCGAGGGTAATGCAACAACTGTTGTGACCGACGACCCCGCCCATTTGCTTTGAGCGCTTGCGCCCCCCGCATGCAAAAAAAAAAAAACGTCCGCGCCAGAGCTCCGGTCACACGTTCGCTCGCAGGGCACCTCGTGCGAAACAAACACCTCGGCAGCCAGGTGTGGCTCGAAGCGGCGGATCTGATGTCGAAAGAGGAATCGCTTTGGCATTCTCACAGTCGACGCCGTTCCAAACGCAAGTGGAAACTTGGACTTGGTTGTGTGCCGCTCCGGAGACGGTCGGCGCACGCCTACCTTGCGCTTGACGTCGGAGGCCACGCTCACAAGCAGGGACACATAGAAGCCCAGTTCGATCGTGTAGTACCAGTACTGCGACGGGAGGAGCGGCTGGGACAAAAGACAGACGGGGGATATTTGAGACTTTCAACAGAATCTGAATATCGATGTGATTTAGTCAGGGCAACACAACCAAGGACAGCTTAAAAAATAATAATAATAATAATAAAAAAGTACCGTAAGCATACCATCTTGGGGAAGTTATCCCACATCCTCTTCATATTATAGAACCACGGTTTCTGAGAGGGGAGAGACAACCGTTAGGATCCGCCCACCACGTCTGTGGGCAACATGACAAAAGGGGACCCCTTTGGGTGCCGCCTTGAGTGAAGAGCAATGTACACGTTGCCGTGACGACACTGTTTCCAAAAGGATAATTTTAGACTCACGTCAATAAGGGTTGCCAGGCCAGCAAAGAAAGCAAAAAGGTAAAAGGTAAATCTCCAACTGGAAGAGAAAGTAGTGGTCACATTCAACATTTTTTTTTTTTTACAATGAAGCACAAATTCCTTCTTAGCACTGAAATCAAACACTGTCTTACTTCTCCGCCTCGACTTACCTCGAATGACTTCCTTCTACTTTACGTGAGAAGGAAGAAGGAAAAAAAAAAAACCAAAAAAAAAAAAAAAAAAAACGCATCAAAGTCCACCATTGTTTGAGGGTCAATGAAAAGGATCCAAAGAAAAAACAAAACGTGTCAAAGCTGGCAAAATGCTTCAACAAGGCGCACAATCTGGTAGCGTACGGTCGCACTTAAAAGTCTTCAAATTTTCTCCAAAACGGACGGACGGACGGCGCGCCAAATCACGCGGGTCGCCTTGCGTAGGCGCCGAGTTCCCAAATCGGTGAATGCCGATTATGGCTTTGGACTCGAGTCCTTGGAGGGAACGATGTCGTTCGTCGTCGGGTTTGCGTGCTATAGCGCGCAAGGGTTCGACGTACCTGGCTTCCTGAAACTTTTTGATCTTGCTGGGGCGATCCTGGTTCCGCCGCTGCTTGAACCATCGCTGGACCTGTCGCACTGAGCAGTCTGCCTGTTTACTCAACGTTTCTAAGGAGCTCTGGAAACAAACGCAAAGAGATCAAATTAGAAGTCAGCGCTGTCGCCGAGCGTTTCGAGACCACGCGCGCACCGTTTGGCCGTTGCGTCGTCGCCAAATGGAAATACATTGATCGGAGCAACCGATGTCGCCGCGGAAGATGCAATTTGTGGACGGTGGCTGCAACGCGGCGGGCATGGCAAAAGCAACGTTGGGATGACAGTGAGTGCGCCAATTTCTGGGCCTGCACCGCTATGGAGTTGTGTTTCTTGGTTTACCTGTGTGGGGTGCTTCGCTACGCTGCAGAAGTGGGCCTCCAGTAAGGGATTGGAGGGCGGACTGGCGCGCTTTTTGTCCCTCACTCCCAGCAGGGACGCCAGAGGAATCGCCACCCACCTGAAAAGTCAAAAAGGCAAACTTGTGGGAAAGATGAGCGGGCAAACGGTGATCACAGCCGACGACGACTGACCTTTCAAATATGGGTCGGAGGACCAGGAAGCCGACAGCGATGGGGATGAAAGCCCAAAGGTCCGACAACTGAGGCAGGACGACGTCGGGGTCCTTGAGGTCGGCCCAACCGTAGCCTTCGGGAAACCAGATCCAGTCCGCCCAGAGATCCTCGCCTAGCCAAGACGACATCCTGGCGATTGAAGAACACGCCAAGCTCAGAATTCTTGCTCGAGCCACCAGGTCTAGCGCGACATCATGATTGACTGGAGAACGCGTCTGGCGCTGGCATGTGTCCAGATGCTTCTTCCTCTTCCTCAAACAAATGGGAAGGAAGCACTCTCGATACAGATGAGGACGGGAAGTTGCCTTTTCAGTACGGAGCCTCCGGCGCCCTTTTCGACGAACATTTTCTTCCGCGTCCATTTCAGGATGGCCTTCTTGGAAGGCGCATCAACAACTCGCGCCGTGCGTTGCCCCTGACGTGGTTGCGTTTCCGAAGCACTTGCAGGAAATCTTCAGGGTCATTGCGACGACTCGATTTCCACCCCCGGTTCCACGGGACGCCCCTCGATATGGCCTCAATGAGCGAGGGGGTGCATACACGCCCCCGCCCCCCCCCACTCTTCCACTCCACGTCTCATGAAATTCAATCCCATCATTGCAACGTACAATCATCAGTCAGCTAAAGAATACTTAATAATGATCCAATTGTTGTCCAGTATATTAAAACATATTCAAATGTTATTCAGTACCAGTGATGCCGGTAAGTAACGCATTAGTCTAATAAATATCTACTGTATATCTCTCCATGTTTTCCAGTCACGACCAAGCACCTACAGGAGTTTTCTCCGTGACGGAATCTGACTCCGGTTACTTTGCAAAGTCACTGTCGACGTGCTAACCATTCGCTGTCAAGCGTTCATGTCATTAAGTGCCTCTTGGGTGCAGCACGTCACATTTGACAAGCCTTGAATAGGAATGGCATACTTTCCAATCACGGCTTCCACAGTCGCATGGAACAAAGCAAATCGCAAGAGCCAAACAAACGCAACATTTCCGAGATGATTTCTTCAAACAAAAAGGAAAAAGTCTGGGAAAAAAAACGTTACCTCCTCGGCGGAGATCATCCGAAAATCTCGGCGCATTCATTTCATGAAGTATCTGCAGCTTTAATTGCGAACCAGTTGGACAGCTACCGACGCTCGACAGACTGCACCCACGAGGAAGCACGGCGCCGTCATCTACAATTTTGTCCTCGGCGAAAGAGCGGCGGTTGCATTTGTTCCGGCTGCCTCGGATTCAAAAAAAGAACGCCGCATGACCTCTGCTGGCGGGCTCCAACGTCAAACTTTTTGTTGGTTGGTTTGTTTTGAAGACGCCCTTTGGTATGAGCGCGGCGTCGTGCGAGCCCGTGGCGATTTTGTTCTCGGGGAAAAAGGAACTCCTCAAACAAACGGAGCTGCCGGCACCGCGCGTGCACGTTACTGTCAAAACTAAAGGAATCCGCAGAGCCGGCCCTACCTTACGAGGCGCCTGAGGCTCAAGATTTATTTTCGGATGCCGCCATCAGTACAGCTGACATACGAAATCCTCCCGCCTTGTTTCAAATGGCTAAAACGACGACGCTGAATTCAGAGAGAACATTTTAAATGTTATTGATAAAGAGCAAGCTAGCTAGATAGATAGATACAGTAAATGGAGAGATCGATAGATTGACAGGAAAAGAAAAATCAAAAAAATGCCTCGAGTTCCTGAAAATACATTCCGATTCATCAAGTTGACGGTGGAGCCTCTTCACTTATGAAGGAAAGTCCCGCCTTCGGCACAAAACGATTCCGGACTTTAAAACTCATGAAATGCCGGTTCGAAAGTCACGGTGGGCCCCTTGCGAGTGACTTGCACTTCCATCTCATTAAGTTAATCATCACGAGGATTTCATTGACGTCGATGCACGCCGTTTCTCACCGCCAAAAATCACTCATCTGCATCCGTCGTCGCGGTACAAGCAGATTGGGGTCCCTCTGCTGTTTAGATTTGAACATGTTCATGGTTGAAGTGGTTTTATTCAGACCGAGGGCAATTACGGGATCTGGGCGGACACACGGAAGGTTTTTCTTCCGCGCTACGGGAACCGTAGGGGCAACCTTCGAGCCCGAGAAGCATTCAGTCGCTTACCCGACTCTGAACGCAAATGTCATTCGGTCAGCTTATCTTATCTAAACTAAATGAAAGACCATAACGGTGAATCCGGTTACGTCCTCGGCTTCCAGAAAGCTATCAAATGGATTTCAATTTGCTGCCATTGTCACAAAATGTTACAGTATTCGTGGATTCATTCACAAAGAGTTTAATGCAAGCCTGCAGTGCCTATTATTTGGAAGGACTGCAAAAGCGAGTTTTCTATTCATTTTGTGATGTCATAAACTTGCCTTCCATTTCATGACAGCGAGAGGGTGAGAATAGGCACAAAGAAATACTTTCAATGGATTTGAATACATTTTCAGCGTGTGTGTGTGAGGGGCTGAAAACTCATTGCACAAATGTTTCTGTCACATGCAAATCCGGAACACGTGCCCCGTAATTTGGTTGACTGTCGTAATCCCACAATTTCTGACAGAGGTGACGCAACACAGTTTACCTTATTCAAATGAAGCAAACGACTGCTTGCTAGGCAGAACCGGAATTGTCACCGCACACTCCAAAAAATACTGACGGAAAGCCCGAATAAGATAGAAGGTTGCGAAAGTGAAAAAACAAAAGAGAGATTTAAAATGTTTTATCTTTGTCTCTGAAGCCTGAAATGTGGCAAAAGGTCAAAAAGTGAGAGGGCGCCAAATACTTTCACAAGCCACTGGATTTGCTTCATTAAAACGTTGTTGTTGTTGTTGTTTTGAACTGATTCTCTGTGGGAAATCAAGGTGACTGGAGCATCCTCCTCCTCCTCCTCCTTCTCCTTCCACTGACTTGTAAAGCCAAAGTGGAGTCGCTGTGACAGTCACAGCTGTCTACGCCCTTTGCGTAAACGCTTTGGGAGCGGTTCCGTGTCCAAATCAACCAAGACAGACACACTCGCGCGCACACATGAACGTGGTGCAAGCGGGAAGTCATAGCGGAACCAGACGTTGAGAAATAAGAAGGCAATAAAAACAAGTTCGCTGCCCCGAATGGCCATGTCACGTGAAAAAGACACGAGCAACTTTGAAGCAGTACGTCGCAGTTTACGTTAAAAAAAAAAAAAAGAAACCAACAACTTTTGGCGTAAACACAATGAACATAATGGACCAGTTTTCGAAATCCAACGCGTTTTTTTTTTTTTTAACCGAGGGGGTAATTAACTATAAGTTGGAATTTGTTGAGTGGGCTGTCTTATCGCGGTTCTCCTAAACAAATAAGAGAAAAGACGACAAGCTCGGGCCTGTTAGCTAGCTCCACTTTGATGTTTAGCTCTCTTTCGCCTCGAGTCAGTTTGCAAGCTAACTGTCATACGTGTTCTGAGGCATCTTTCATTAAAAAAAAAAGACAGCGCAAAGCATTTCTAAAATAGCGAACGGGCCACACTGGAAGAAACGTTTTCACTCGGAAACGAGATATTCGCGGCCAGAGTGAACTGGGGAAAGCGTCGGTCGTGTAACGGTGCCGCCGCCAACTTACCTCCTCAGACCTTGTGTTGTGCGGCCAGGTAGCGGTCGTTGTTTCCCAAAATTCGGCGCTGTCGGCGGCTGCTTGTCCTCTCGTCCCGTTCAAGCGGAGTGAATTTCACGTGCGCTTCCCCATTCGAGGCGCTTGCGAACGTTCAATGATTTGCCAACAAGCCCGCTTCCCTCTTCGGCTCAAGTTCGCCTCATTCTCCGCGGAAAATCGCTCGCACTTTTGACTCCACGGTCCTCTCCCTCCCTTTGAAGTGGAGATTTTCGACCGATCACAATGGAAAGGGAGGGGGCGATGGGCTGACTTTCTCCGGAGTACCGCGTGGGCCACGGATACCAATCGGGTCGGGCGGACTGACTCTTACGGTTTCAACTTTAGTGGGCCAGGGGGGCGTGTAGCGGGCTGGTTCAAGTGACGCGAGACTCGGCTGTGGGCTAAGAGTCGTCCCAGTGAAGACGAGTTTGTTTCTTTTTGCCTCTAAGGGGCGCTGCAAACAATCACGCCACCTGATCATTTCAACGCACCGTTCATATTCTCGCGTTAATTTAAAAAGCATTGATATCCATGCACTCGTGCGCACTCGGGCTCTAGTCGTGGGAAAAACAAAATCGAGATCCGCTCTTTCCACTGCGCTCAATTGCTCATACTCGTAAATTGACTTCAAGAATATCCACATTATGGAAACTTTAGATCAATTGAAAAGCTCAAAAGGCTTTCCGTAAGACCTTCCGATGTCCACCATTCCAACTTTCTTCCCAAACGGGCCCGTATTTAGCTCCATCCATTTGCCATCAATCGGAACCACGCATCTTCCCTGTCTCATCGGGAGGCCTCGATGCTGCCACCGCCAAGTTTGACATTGGGGATGGTGTTTTCGGGGTGATGTGCAGCCTTATTTTTCGGACAAACGGAACCTTTTGGATTTTGTCCCTGAAGGTTCCATTTTGCTCTCATCTGACCCCAGCACCTTCGTCCATGTTTGGTGCATGTCCCGGGCGGCAAAGCCCAAGCGGGACTCTTTCACTGTGGTCTTTAAGAAGCGCCTTTCTTTTGGCCTCTCTTCCACCGAGGCCAGATTTGAGCAGTCGTTGTCCTGGGGCCAGATTGCCTGACCTCAACTGCCGACCTTTCTCGCCTGAGTGGAAAGGGAGGGGCCAAGTAATATGGCACACCACTTTTCAAGTATTTTCAGGAGTTCATATTCCATCAGTCCAATACCGCGCTTAAAAGGGAGCTCCACCTACTTTGAAGCCTTTTTGAAGATCATCTCATGCAACTGACACACCGATGTCTCCTCAACCACGTCAAGTCGGATAGCACGTTGACCGCCAACAGCATTTGATTGAAGCAGTCACGTTACGTTCAGTCTTGTATTTCAGGGCACTTTAGAGTGACTATTAGTAGCGGTTGATTGACTTTGACAGTCCACCTCACCGAACAACAGTCAAGAACACACGACTCGGAGCAGCTTGCAGCCTGAAAAAAAGGAAAAAAGAGGCCCTTATCATCCCCTCATACTTGAGACATGCCAAAGAGGCGAGCGTGTTTGGACACGTCAGGCCAAACCCAGAATGCTCTGGCACTCTGGCTCTTCAAACACCAGCTCTCTCCACCTTTCCCCGGCAACACCATCTTCACTTAAGGATCTCCTGATACCCAACGCAGTCTTCTTTGCTTGATTCTAGCAAGCGGTCTTTCTCTTCTCTCCACTAGTGCGGATATAGGGGGGGGGGGGGCTACCCTTGTAAAAAAAAAACACACACACAAGTGACATCTTTTCTCTCAACAGAAACTTTATTTTCTTTTCAAAGACGCGTTTTAAAACAGCAACTGTCGCGAATAAATAAAGAAACATTCTGCTTTGTTTTTTTTTTTAAACTTCCTTACATTGATGTCATTTAAAAACTCTATAAGTGTATTTCTTGTCTTGAAGGAATGATTCTTCAAATAAATAAGAACACATCACCCCCCCACCCCCATCAAATTAATGACCAAATAAATTAAACGTATAAAAACAAAAACGACGATAGAAAACCCCCCTTTTCCAATTTGTCAAGTTGAAAAGCGGCGGACGCAGAGATTTTGAAGATGCTTTTACTTCTGCCGCCCCAACTGAGGTATGTACAGTGGGAGGAAACCCCTTCAATTCTCTTTCTGCTTCAGAAACGTGATTTTAATTGACGTCTATCAATAATCAAACTACTTCTACATAACAAAATTTACTGGTGGGAATGATACAAAATCGATTTCCTTTTCCCTCAGTCTGCGTGGAGACGACCTTCTCGATCAGAGGTCCCCAACCTTTTTTGCCCCAAGGACCGGTTTCACGTCAGACAATTTTTTCATAGATACAACAATATGATTTGATATGACCTGCATGAAAAGGGTGATATAATATGATATGACCTGCATGAAAAGGGTGGTACAGTATTTACGAAACATCATAATGAACACGAATCATGACACGAGGAACGTCCTATCTGGCCTCAACGTTCTCTGGTCGCTATGGTAACGTTTCAACGTGCCTTCAAAATAAGATGCGAAAAATACGACTCACCATCGCCGCTTATTATGCAGAGTAGGCGTGGTGCGTGTGAATCTCCCGTATTTGAAATAGGACTCCTGATATTGTCTATGAAATGTAGCCTTCTCTTTCTTGAAAATCGCAGGCTCCTCTTCTGTCTCCTTTTCCCCTTCTCGAAAAGACTTTTCAAAGAATTTTGTTATTTTATGCGGTAACCTATCAGGTGACCGAGAAGCGCGCATTCACTGCGTCAAGCGTGACATACTGTAGACTGATATAACAGAGAATCCGGTAATTTTCAAAATAAAACATCTGTCAGATTCCGAAATGAATAAAACGGAAGAAATGTAAGTTATTTATTCTTTCTGTGCGGCCCGGCATCAATTGACCCGCGGACCGGTACCGGCGGTTGGGGACCCCTGTTCTAGATCACAAATGACACTATACAGCAGGACTCTGTTCGGTAGAATCACATGACTGATATGCTTTTTCATTTTTTTTTCTTTTTTTTTAAACATGTAGATTAGAACTTGTCGCTGACATTGGATCTACATCGTAAAAATGAATCCAGCTATGGAATGACGGGAACTCGAGGAGCAACTTCTGACACCGATGCTGCCGTTGTACTTGTTTATGACATTACGGCAGTTGCTAGTGTTTTATGTAAATCATTTTATATACTGTCTCTCTCTTTCGTGTGTGTGTGTGTGTGTGTGTGTGTGTGTGTGTGTGTAAGAAGTGTTGCTCCTATGTGCTATTGTGGTTGGTCAAACAACCATACAAGGCTGGGACATCCCGAGGTGGTTTTCTTGATTGAACTCTTACATTGTCCTGGAGGTAAGAGAGAGAGAAAAGAGAAAAGAGAAAATGTTTAAGGCAGGTGAAAGAAGTACAAATTCATATATTTCATTAAAAACAAAAAATGCAGTCAGTACCCACTGCTTGCACTGACACCGCAGAGGCGAATCACTCTCGAATGATAGTGTTCATGCAACTCAAACAGTGGCAGTGCACGCACAAAGTTGCCTTTCATCTCTTTTGGCAGGCAAATGAATTGAGAACATGCACAATAGGAATTCTGCCGGGCACTGACTCCAATATTTGTCTGTAGGTTATGGCCGTTCAGATTTTTCCAAAGTCAAATCATCCATCAGATCATTTCCTCTGGAGCGAATTGCTCAAAACGGCATCGGCGGACTTTTTTTTCCCCCCTCTTAAATCAGGAGTATATGTTATGAAAAGCTTCTTCTTGTTTGTTGCCACTCCTGGTAACCCGACCGCAACACGTTCCATACGATTGATTTCATTTTTGGATTTTTTTTTTTTTACAATATGAATTTTTAAAAAAAAATGGTAATTTAGTGACTTGCTTAAAGGGGACATGTTGAAAATGGACTTTTTGCTTGCTTGCGTGTGTATGTATGTGACTGGGTTCGGTTTCCCCATGAACGTCTTGAGCTGCGCTCGACATATCGTGCCACTTTTTCACTCAGCGGCAGATTCAGTTGGATGAAATCCGGCCTTTTGAAATGCAACGTGCGTGCGTGTCTCCGCTTCAATGTCTTTGATTCCGATTCAGAGAAAACTTGAAATCGGGGGCTTTTTGGTCGACTTCCCTCTTTGCTGGCGCTTTGCGGAGACGCCGTTTCCATGAGCGTGCCGTAGATGAGCAATTCCACACCGGCATGGAAGACTGGAAAATTGCTTGTCTGTTTTTTTTGGTCCCCAGAATTCCTAAAGAGGAAGCTCGTTCCTCTGCCAGCAGCCAAACAGATTAGCCCCATACCACGGAAAGTAACCTCCGTGTCTCAAAAATCAAGAGTGGTTCCGATGATCCTTATCCTTATGACATCTTCCACGCAGACATTTGCACTCCAAATGTCACTTTGTCTCACACGCACACCAACACACGGCGACCGTCATACACAAACATGATCTTGTCCACTATTTCTGGAGGTCAACGTGTTCGTTGCAATTCCGGCGTCACAAACAACAACCAAAGTTCAGGCACCAAGTCACACGGAATCGAGTTACAAAACAAAACATGGCAAACCTTCACGACTTCACGCAAAACTACCACACCATCCAACTGAACAAAGGGGAAAGTGTAAGAATGATCATCATGACCGATTTTTAAAAAAAAGCCGACTAATAAATAATAATTACAACAACAACAACAACAAAAAAAAGAAAATACCTCTGGAACTCTGGAATTCACAATTGAGTTTGTTTTCAAGTTTGGAGGATTAGAAGAGCAAATCAAAATAAAGCCACCCACAGCATGTCATGATCATCAATTACTTACAGATACGGTAAAGTGCCTTTTTCATCGATCGGCGTCGGCAAAGGATTGAAGCCAGGACCAAATAAAAAGAGGGAAACTCACAAGGCACCAAACACAGGCCACGGTCGCCACGGTAACCCGCCATGCGGTGGAGCATGGCGAGTCAAAAGGCGAAAGGCCCCAAAAGAAAACTTGCTAATGGCAACCGTCACAGGCAATATCGCCGCAGCGACCCACACAGGCCAAAGCACTTACGACGACGTGGTGAGAAGGAAGGGGTGGGGTGGGGGTGGGGGCCGGTTTGGGCGGTTGCTAAGCAACTGTAGCCATAGCGACGCACGCCTCCACCATTTACGTATGTCGGCGGGGCGGTCTTGAGAGTGGTGCGATGGTTTGGTTTCGGGAACGACGGGGCACATGGCACGGCACAAAAACAACGAGTGAAAGGTCAAAGAACAATCCCGGACTGGCAGCAGTCGCATTCAGAGCTGTGACAGGAGCGCTTGGCCAGGACCGCACGCTCCATCCAAATATCGTCTGCTTCGCGACCATCGCGGCGGCTCGACTGGAAAGAGCAACACTTGAGAGCGTGAAAAGCCGTGGCAGACGAACTCGTGCACAGCGGCGCGCACCCGCTTGCTTGCTGGCGCTCCCGCGTCCTCGTTTGAAGCTCACCTCCTCTCAATAAGGTCTGTTGGCATCCTTGGGCCTCTTCAGTTGCACCTTGAGTCTCTTCATGCCGATCTGGAAGCCATTCATGGCTTGGATGGCGGTCTGAGCGCTGGAGGGGTTGTCAAAGCTCACAAAGCCTAAGGAAAAACACAACAAAGCCCAAAAACGCACGGGCGTGAACGTGGACGATCGCACACACGAGGTCCGCGGACACGCCTCGGTTGTGGTCGGCGAGCGGCGGCTCATTCGACGCAACGCTCCGGTCGCGCGTGAATCTCTGCGTCCTTTTCCGCCCCAACAGATTGTCTCCGCTGCGAGATGGGAGAGTGTCACATTTCGAGGGAAAGAGGAGAAGCACTTTGATTGGCGGCAAAAGTGTTCCACGCCCACAACGGCGCAAACCGCCTTGCGAAATCGCCACAAATCCCCCTTTTTGAGAAACAGGGGAAGATGGTTCCTTTTTTGTGTTGTTTTCCGCCGTCACAAAAACAATCTCTTGCTGACCCTTTCGAGGGTCACGTTAGTATTCAGAGCTCTCGCCGCTTCGCGGCGTGATGTGTTGTCGGGAACCGGATCAATATGGGAGGCATGGGGGTGCGGGGGGACCGGAAACCTTTGACCAACACCCGGTCCGACCCACCTATGCGCAGCGACACGCGCCGCCGGCCATGCCAAATGGCCATGAAAACAGAGCGCGCAGTGACAGGCAGTTGATGGCGGAAGCGACGCTTGACCTTTTGCAACGCATACAATCCCAAAAGTAGCTTTGCGTTCAACTCAACAGGCCCAGAATTCCCAAAGGCGGTCCATTTGTGATTTTCGGTGAAACAGAATCATCTCGAATGTGAATTTGTTCGCCAACGGAAAATATGCGATATGTGCTTCGGCTCGAGAAAGGTTGGGGAGAACTCAGATCGCCGTTTGGTCTTTTCTCCCTTCCGTTTCTAAATACCACGTGGGTGACAACAACGACGGTTCTCAACGTCGGCGCGGCTCACCGAAGCATTTGCTTTGGTTGGTGGCGCGGTCGACAAAGACCTTGGCCGAGATGACATTTCCAAAGGGCAAGAACATTTGCAGGATCTCCGAGTCGGTGAACTCCTGAGGCAGGTGGTAGATGAAGATGTTGCAGCCTTCGGGACCTTTGCACAAAGAGAGAAAAAGAGAGGGTGACATCTTCCACTCCACTCCTAAAACCTACTCCAGCTCGTCTACGGAGGTGGGAACGAGATTCTCATGGCCAACAATCACATTGGACCTCAGTTAACTCCACTCGCAACTCAACTCGGCCGTATTTCTCAAGCCTTTTCACCGCCGCTGTCTACAAGGTGCTGTGCACGGAGCAAAAAGAATTCAACAACAACAACAGACGAATGAATAACAAAGACAGTCAAAAGCACCCAAACTCAAGCTGAGTCCAAAGCCAAAGACTCCAAATGAGTTTTGTTGTGTTTTGTCCTAGCTGGGCGGCGAGGGGGCTCGCCCGACATTCGGGAGCGGCCAGGCAAAAGGCTCCATCCCCCTCGGAGCCGCCGCCGCTGAGTTCTCGCTACCTCTAACGGCGTCCGGGGCCAGGCCATTTCCAGATTGGAAAACAAATCTTCAAAAGAACTCTAGAATGTAGAGGCGATCGCCAGAGTGGCAGCGACGCGCTCCCTCTCACGAGGACCGGTCGAGAGAGGCGAGCGGCGGCATTCGGGGATGCGACGAAGGAGCGTTTCAAAGTGCTCACGGGAGAAAGGCGAGGCTTGACCTGAGGCCGCTGCCCAAAATGAAAGAAGCCAAAGTGGACAACGGCATCAATTTGCCGCTGCGGTTTCAAATCACCATCCAGTTTTGGACCGCAGTTCGCAAACACAAATAATCCTGATGTCAACCAAGGTACATAAGAGAAGCTGATAGAGTCAAGAACCGATAAAGCAGCGGCACCGCATCACTGTTTGCACAGTGATGAGGTGTAATCTAAATTGTGCCAAATGACGTGTTCTCCTGATAGTCCGTTTTTCTTTTTTTTTGGAGAATTTACCTTCACGTTGCTGTAGCTGCTGCGCCTGCTGCGGCTGCTGGGCTACCAGGGTGGGTTGGTGGGGGAACGGCTGCCCCACCAGGCTGTAGGCGGCAGGATAGGTGGCTGCAGGAAAGAGAGAAAAAAAAACAATCATCCAATGGGAATATGAACCATGAGAACATACGAGACTGCGACAAAGATGACTACAACCCACAAATGCAACAGAGCACATTTTCAAGAGGATTCATTTTGAACAGTCCCTTGAATATGGGCAGTTGTGCAAAATAAATTATAAAAAAAAAAAAAAAAAAAGAATCGATCAAAACCCTTGGCCCCAGCCAGGCCCCCTCAGTGAAATTGATCCGAGAACCGCCACTGCGTCGCACCTGTCGAGCGAACGGCAAGTGAGGCTCACCTGTGTAGTGCTGCATGCCCGCGTACGCTTGCTGCAGGGGGTCCAACACAGGACTCGGAGCTGCGGCACAAAAACATCATCACCAATCGCTCGATGCGCAACAGCACGCTCCAAATAGCCCGCGGCTCCGTCGCTTCGTTTCATTGGCATTGAATCACGCTTATGAGATCAGGAGCCTGTGAGTCGGAGGGGAGCCAACGCCCAAAACAAACAAACAAACAAAAAGTGAGCAAGTGGGACACCGCCGTGTTGCGTGTGTGTCGTTTGCCAAATCGCCGAAATCGGAGGAAACCAACATGTTGCGGGACTGTTGGATGGGGATGATGTCCCTGCACCTGCGCCATTGCCTGCGTGTCTGCGTCAGAGTTTTGCTTTGCTTCGACAAGGCCGGGAAGACATGAATAAGGTCGATCCCCCCCGTGGTACCTTGATAGGCGTGGACCCCGTTGGCGTACAAGGCCTCGGTCGCCGACTGGCCGCTGGGCGGTGCCGCCGCCGAGGGGTAGCCGCTCACGGCGATGGGTGGCGGCAGAGCGGGAACCGGGGTGGCGGCGATGGACGGCGGCGTGCTGGTACCTGCGGACGGCCGCGCGGTTATCCAAGGGCTCCGTTTGCATCGGGAAAAGGACCCATCGTGAAATTGCCGACGTCTCCTTGGCAAAGTCACGTTGACCCGCTCAACGAGGGCACATTCGAATCCCGATCGACTCGGCGCGGCGTTGGCGTCGTTTTTTTTTTTTGCGTTACTTGAAATTGCGAAATCCAACTCACGTGGGAGCGAACGCTCGCGCCGGGCCGCTCTGCTTACCTGAGGAGGGGGTGATGGATGCGATCGGCGTGGCGATGATGCCGCTGGGGTTGAGGGCGGCCAGCTGTTGCATCTGAACGGCCGCCACCGTGGCGACGGGAGAGAGGTAGGCCGACTGGGCGACCAGCGCCTGCTGCTGCTGCATCAACTGGGCGTCGGAAAAGGTTGCCGTTGGCAGCAGGCAAAAAAACAAAACAAAAACAAAACAGGCTGTTTGTGGCTCTTTGGTGAAACGGGCGATGGATGGGGATTTGTGGAGGCTGACGCTCCTTCCGATATTTGGCGGAATGAAATTGGGGAAACAGATTCTTGGGCTGCTCCATTGGAAAAAAAGGGACATGCAGAAAGGAACTGGTCCTTTCATGCTTGGAGCAACAACAACATGAAATCGAGGAAGTACCGTATTGGCCCGAATATAAGACGGTGTTTTTTGCATTGAAATAAAACTGAAAAAGTGGGGGTCGTCTTATATTCAGGGTCTAGACATTATCCCAATTCACGACGCTAGATGGCGCCAGATATCATTGAGGCGAATGCTGAACTTGACTCCCCAGTCCAACGTGAACTCCTGCCACGAAAAATAAAAATAAAAATAGCGGTAGCACGAAGAAGAAAAATAAAAAAATAGCGGTACGAAGGAAAAGAGAAGAAAATAATCGAAGAGATAACGGAAAATGGAGAAACGTAGTGACAATCTGGAGAAAAGTGGGTCGAAGATCGGCCAGGTTAACTGGCAGCTGAAGTTATGATGTAATTTACATTTCAAAAACCAGAAGTCATTCATTTACGAATGTGATTACACTTTGATTTACATATTTAAATGTTCAGATATTAAGATTTGAATGAGGCAAAATAACATGCTTTTTCTCTCAAATATATTGGTAGAATCATTTGTTTCAGACGTACTGTAATTATTTTCTGTATAAAAATTAATTCGGTGTTCAAAAAGTCTTTTTTAAAACTTGAGGCTTGAAAAAGAAGGGGTCATCTTATAATCAGGGTCGTCTTATATTCGGGCCAATACGGTACATGGGCATATGACTACACAAAGAGAAAAATCACCACCCCACCGACCCCCACAAAAACGTATTCATGTGTTCAGAAAAAAAAAAAAAAAAATCAGCAAAGACACAGCAGATTTTTGGAGCTCATATCGGCGGCCCTAAAGTTTGACAATTTGGCTCGACTTGCGCTAGCATTTGCGGTAGCTGAAATGAAACAGCATCGTGACCTATCGGCTTGCACAATGAGATTCCAATGTCTCCAAAATTCCACACCACACTCCAATCATGAGATGAACACCTCTTTGCGATGTCAATCCGGCTCCAAACTCAGCGCGGGGGGTCTGCAAAACGGCAGGCAGCTTTTGTCGGGGCCCCCGGTGAGCTGACGAGCTCCCACTTGAAAACTTCAATTCTTTGAAACGTGTGAAAAGAAAGTCTAGTGTGTGCGCGCGCGTGTCTTTCTCACAGCTTGCGCGTAGGCGTTGTAGGCCCCGAGGTGCAGGGTCATGGGACCGATGACTCCCAGCTGAGAGGCCACCTGCTGCATTCGCCGGAGCCCCCGCTCCTTCTCCGAATCGGCAAACTTCACCACCAGACTGGATGAGGCTCCCTCAAAGCAAAAGGAGATAAAAAAGAAATGCTCGTGGATCCCGATGGGCGCGTAAGGCCTCGCTACTGGAGAAAAATCAACACCTAATCACGTGGCTGCATCACTGTGCGCCCCCTCTGTGTGTGTGTGCGTGTGTGTGTGCGTGTAGGACTCACCGGTAGAGTTCGACTCCCGTGCAGAGCGTTGATAGCGGCTTGGGCCTCGACGTTGCTGTGGAACTTGACAAATGCGCATCCTGGAGGGCAAGATGACGCGCCATCAAAGCGTGAACTTGACTTTATCCGATTGGATTTCCCTTTCGCTCGGCGCGATGTCAACCTACTCAGGTTTAGGGAGGGGGTTGGTTACCTTTGCTGGTTCCGTCGGGCCCGCGGAGCACCGTGCACTCCTCGATGCTGCCGAACGCTTCAAACATCTTTCTCACGTCAGGGTCCGTCTGCTGCTTTCCCAGCATGCCCACAAACAGCTTCCTGTCTTCTGAGGAGGAAGGAGGGCAACCAGAGGAGGCCAAACATAAAACGCAGCTGTATCATGACATCATACAAGTGCGAGTTGGACATCGGGAAGGCCGATTTTCGGTGATCTTGAGATTGGACTGGTTGTTATTTTCAACCGTGCGGCAATTTAAAATGACATTCATTTTTTTCGATCTTTGGGGCGGATTCATTGGGAAACATTTTGGGGGTGGAGCGCGGAAGGAATTAAGTTCATAACTTGAGGGTCTCTGATGATCAAAATATGAAAGTCCCAATCTTTACCCTGCCGTGACTGCTCCTGGCCTGAAAAGGGATCGAAAAAGATCCCGTTGGTGCGGCGCGCGTGTGTGTGTGTGTGTGTGTGTGTGTGTGTGTGTGTGTGTGTGTGTGTGTGTGTGTGTGTGTGTGTGTGTGTGTCTCTCTCACCCCCTCTACTCTCACTGTCTGCTGGCTTCACCTGGATTGGGCGGTTCATCTGGAAACAAATAAACACGGGATGCAGTCAGTTTCAATGTTCAAAGATTATGGGAGTAGAAGAAAAAGACAAATACGGAATATGAAAAACAAGTTCAGTGTCAGTGGTGGTTATATTTTGTCATTACTCTCCCCAATGTGTTCCTTCACTTTTTTTTTTTTTTTAATTTAGCCCGACTTGCCCGGCCACAACATTAGGCACATCTCCTTTGAATCGAATAATAACCCATCTGTGGGGCGTATTGATGATTTTGTATAGCCCCGCCCCCAAAAAGTGCGATTTATCGGACCGTTGAATGTATGCAGTTGTTATTGTGGCTTCGGTTGGTAGTCAGGCAGACTGTCTCTTCTGATGTAGCGATTTGGTCAAGATGGAAAAAAGGCTCCCTCAGCCGCGGTTTCAATCAAATTTGTTCTTGGATGGTATTCGGTGTACCTAATGAAGCGGGCACGATTGAAGGCTCTTCCGCTTTACCTTCCCTCCAATGACTCTCTCTCAGAATCCACTCTAATCCCAAGTCCATGGTTCCTTCCGCCGCTATCGCGCCAAAACCAGGAAAAGCACACCCACCCTCGCGGGATTGGGCAAGTGATGAGATTAAGAACACCCGCTGGCTAATCTGGATTACAGGAGCAAGCCCGGCATCAGACTACAGCCAAGATATTCCCATCCTGACAGAAAGGCAGAGACCAGGCGAAACGGGGGAGGGGGGGGGGGGGAAGCGGAAATGAAATATTGAGCAAAAAAGGGGTGAGGAGTGTCGAACACAACAGCGCAGGATGAAACGTCCTTTTCATCAAGTGACAAACTGCTGAAAGAATTTAAGAATTTCTTTCCCCTCCACAATTTCCTCCTCTTTTATTTAGTCAAGCCCTTTATGAAATGACACGCACAAGTGTTTTGCAAATATGGAAAGTCCCCCCGCAACAAAGGCGGAAGGGGGAGTTGCGTAAAAGAAGAAAAAACATGGGGGTGGGTGGGGTGGTGGGGGTTAAAGGGAGAAGTGCAGATTAAGGGATAGAGTGGAGCATATGGAGACAAGGCAGATGATGGGGATGTGTCTGTGTCTGTGTGTGTGTGTCTGTGTGTGTGTGTGTGTGTGTGTGTGTGTGTGTGTGTGTGTGTGTGTGTGTGTGTGTGTGTCGGGGGATGCATGTCACAGTGCCACTCTGCGAACTGTGTCTTAATGAAGGTCTTAATTACGGAGCTGGTGACATTTCAGCCACTCACCGATCTTGCGTCACTGATTAATCTGATGTGATCGGTCACCAGGGGACACAATCGATCGCCCCGGGCCTTCAGGACCGGAGCGCACAAGTGCTCTTGACACCGCGCTGAAATAACACCAACACCTGCTGCAAGGGGCCCTTACGTCTCTTCGCTGTTTGGGGGGCAAAGAAGCCTATTTGGTACCTTCTGTAGCAATGGTCGCGCAGAACAAATGAGTCATGACTCAAGGGTTCTTAAAAGCCCCGTCGCGGTATCCAAAGTGCTGTGCATGGAGCAAAAAAAGAATTCAAACAACTGACAATAAAACGACGAATAAATAACAAAGACGGTAGAAAGCACAAAAACAGCCCGATGAAAAATGCCAAAAGTCCAAAGCGGAAGACTCGAAATGAGTTTGGATGGAAACGCTCAGCGGCAGGTCAGCGGAAAAAAAAAAAAAAAGGGGGATCCCCTCCGCGCCTTTGCTGAGTTTGCGCTACGTCTCATCGCGTCTGGTCCGCAGACACTCTTCTATCCGGGCAGGAGCTCGGAGAGGTCAGGTGGGGCGCCAGGCCATTGAAAGATTGGCAAAAAAAAATGGGAGGATCTTCTTCCAAAGAACTGGAAAACGAGCCAGTGAAGGGACGCCAGAGTAGGAGTCACACGCGAGCGGCGGCATTCGGGACCGACTGGAGACGCTTCGTGGAGGAGAAGGGGCATGAGCCTGATCAATACTATATCATGTTTCGTTGTCTTTTCTTTGTGTTTTTTTCTTTCAGAAAGTTGCTGAAGTAAAAACAAATGTCTTGTAGGAATCAGAAACAAAAATCTGGCTTGGAGTTGACCATACGGGGCTGCACTTGATAGAAAGCGGACCTTGTTTTGATCATCATGACCGCAGCGAATACGAACAGGACAACCCAAACTAAGCGGTATGCCGTAATGGAATCAAATCATCATCATCATCATCATCATCATCATCTCCGGTGTCCTGTTTGAACGTCTGGCGACCGCCACGGCGGAGATAAGCGCGATGCAGCAGATGCCCCCCCCCACCCTCCTCCTCCTCCCTCGGTAGAAATCCAAATATAAAAGAGCGACAACAGTGAGAAGCGGAGGCCATCAAGGCTGAGCCACTCCACATCGGCACGGCAACCGGCGCCCCCGGCCTGGCGTGACGGCCTCGCTCGCATTGGCCATCGCCATGACAACACCTTGCAACGAGGACCGCCGGCGGATCAGGTAAACGGCACGCGAAGGTAGATGAGAGACAAACAAATGAAAGAGGACGACGGACGTTTATGGGGTGGGAATCGGGAGACGGGGAGGAGGGGGGTTAGATTTGTGCGGACGGGGAGGGCGGGGTAGAAAAGGAACGACAATGGGGGAGGCGAGCAGAGAGGTTTGTGCCTGTTGAATGCGAGCAGGGCTCCCTGTGAGCCTTCATCACAAACACATTTGACCAGCTTCGTCTTGCGTGGTTGAAGTTTGTGGAGTGTAATTTGAAGTTTTATTGACAGACGAGGCGGTGGGGGATGGACTAACAACACACACACACACACACACACACACACACACACACACGCGCGGTGATGCTCGCCGTTCATCGATCACAGGGGCAAACACGCACGCTGGCTGTCCACGTGTGGCAGAAGCGACATCATTTGTCGGCGCGGTGACGCTGGAGGGGATTTTGCCAGGGATTATTCCGTATCAAAACCACAGATTATCCAATCACATCCTAGTCTCTGATCATAAAAGCCCCCCATCGGCTGTCACCGCGCACTCGGGGAGAGGGGCTTGCTCCCAAAATCAAAGACGTTTGCATCCGCTCGGGGGAGGGCGGCCGAAACGTGTTTGAGATCGTACGAAGGCTGAGCCCTTTTTTTTCTTCCCTTTCCGTCGACGGGCAGAGCGGATGGAAAAATCTCACTTTGCGTGGCATCTTTCTCCCCCCGCGTTCTCTTCAATTCGCCGACTCTATCGGCGGCGCGCAGAGGCCGACTCGGAAGGCGGGGTGGGGCGGGGCTGCGGGCCACAAAGACAATGGTCCTCCTTCGCCCTCCCTCCGCTCTGTGCTCCGTCACATCGCATCGTGCCGGGTCGCTTAGCAACCTGCCATCCCTTGTCCCAGCTGTCTCCCGG